CTGTTACTTTAAAATACATTTGATGATTAGATAAATTTTGGTGACATTTTAAATAAAACAAATTTATATTTCTTTTTCTTTGTTATTTTTAAATGTAGGCATATGTAATGTTAATAAATTATTGTTAAAGCTTAAATGATTTTTTCCAGTTTATTAGCATATGGATAATGACTAATGTAAAATATGAATTCTCATTTTTTTAATTTGAAAAGCACATTTTCTCCAGAAAATAAACATAGAAATAATTACCAAATAAGAGGCAGTTAATTTTTTTCTGTTGTTTAAACCATAAGTCAAAAAGGCCTATATTTAATATATGTGTAAGATGCTCTGAGGTATGTTTTAAGAAACTTCTTATATTAGGTAGCTTCTAACACCTATTCTTACATTATTTTTACATTATTCTTACATTATTGCTTATTCTGTTGTTTATTGTAATTTTGTTGAGTAATACTGGGGATAAAGAAAAATGTTGGGGAAATCAATTGCAATGCCTATCAAAATGATCTGTACTTCATAGACTCTCAATAAATGCTGTTGTTAGATACAATACTTAGTTATATACTCAGGATAAAGAGAGAGATGAAATGCAAGCATTAAAATGCAAAAGAAAAATGTGTCATAATCATGTAAGAATGAATAGTTATATATCTATACATCTATTAATAAACTATGTGCCTATCAGACTACGTATCAGTCTCTCTCTCATTCTCTATCTATCTGACATCTCAATCTCCATATACATATATGTAAAGTGGCTGTACATATATGTACATATATGTAAAGTGGTTGTACTATAGACCCAGAAAGAGGAGAAAAGCAACATCTCATGTCATGATTAGTATTTTCCTGTTAGTTTCCACTTGCATATTTTGACTTAAGAAAAATCCAATCATTGATCTGGAAGAACATGAGGGGTTCCTTTGATTGTTCTTCAGATGCCTCACTGCTTTTATTGCACACAAGTAAGTAGTCAAAATTATGTTTTTAAAAAGGAAATAACACATTACTTACTGGTTGTTAGCCAATTAAAAGTTGAACAAAGTAAAACAGGAATGTCTAGAGATAATTAACTTGCAAATAACTCATTTCACTTACTTAACAAACTGAAACAGACCACCAAATGAGAGATTATCAAGTTTCTTTTCCTCAACATATTCCCCATGTTTATAAATGTATTATGAAGTCGTTAATTAAACACAATACACAAGAAGAGAAGTTAAAGTTGACACTATATTACTTCAGGCACTATTTGAGAATCAAAAGCTATAAAACTTTAAAGATGAACTAGTAGGGTATGAAGCAAAAAAAGACTGACACTGTCAATTGGGATTCATATCATTATATTCCTGAATTTATATTAAACATTCCCATATCCTTCTACGACATCACTCACTGAAATTCTTTTATGGATATAAACAGCATACTTTGAAAATGCAATTTAAAGCTAACCAGATAAAAAATGATGCTTTAAATGATTTTCTCTTAAGCTGTAAATTAACTTGGGAGTCATCCTATGTTTCCAAACCCCAGGTTTAGACAAACATATTTTCCGGATTCCTTTCAGACATCTGACTCTTCCTTTTTGAAAAGAAATTATTTTTCAAATAATACTCATAAATCAATATTTCAAAGGATCACTTTTGTTTCCTTTTGCTATCCTTGTCAGATTGTTCTGTTTTTAATCCTCCACTCCATTCCCCTTGGTTTATCAGATTTTGATAAAACCACTTAATGTTCTCTAAACAGAGGTATAATCTAGTCAGAGTTAAAAAGATAACAAATAGGCATTCCCTGGTGGTGAAGCGGGTTAAAGCACAGCACTGAGAAGCTAAAGCTACTTCCGCATGAGTTCGATTCCTGCCTGCCCTGGAGGTGACCACATGGTGCGGCAGACCTCTCCTGACCCGCCCGCTGCTCCCCTCAGCAGTGTACTTTGTCGATCTGCCTGTTCTGTTCCCACTCTGTCTCTGGTGAAGCCTCTCACCACCCCTGAGCCTCTGGCCTGTACCCCAGTTCTGTATGAACAAATAAATAAATCTTTAAAAAAAAAAAGATAACAAATAAATTGCTCAGCACAGAGTCTTTCACATGTTACCAGCCATGCTATTAATTAAAATTTTTCTTTGATCCCCAATAGCTTCAACTGAGGTCCTCAGTAAGGCCATCCTTTTTGGCCCATCTCTTGCTCTCGCAGGTTTTAGTTACTGCCATTTTACCTTTCAAGCTTCCTCACTGCAGCACACTACAGTATTTGTTCCTTAATTTTTTTTTTTTTTTAATTTTTATGCTCACAGAACTGGGGTATAGGTCAGAGGTTTGGTGGGTGAGAGGATTCACCAGAGACAGAGTGGGGAGCAGAAGAGGCAGATTTGCAAAATGCACTGCTGAGGGGAGCAGCAGGTGGGCCAGAAGAGGTCTGCCAGGCCATATGGTCAGCTCCCCAGCTAGGAATCGAACTCGTATTGTAGCGGCTTTGGAGAGCTTCATAATGTGGTGCTTTAATGTGCTGTGCCACCAGGGAGAGCCCAGTTCCTTAAATTTTTATGTTTTCGCAGCATCAGCGCATTTACTATTTCTTGACTCCCTTTTCAACAATGAGATCTATGGCCCTCCCTGATGGCACAATGAGTGAAAGCACAGCACAATGAAGCTATCCAGCCACTGCAGCATGTGTTCCATACCCAGCCAGGGAGGTGATCCTCATAGCATGGCAGATCTCTCCTGTGGTGCCTGCTGCTCCCCTCAGCAGTGTATTTCAGTTCATCTCCCTGTTCTGTTCGCTAATCTTTTTAGTGAATTGTTACACTTCAGGTCTGTACCCCAATTTGTATATGCATAAATAACTCTTTAAAAAAAATAAAAGAATGAGACACCGTTCTTCATCCCTCTAAGTTACTGATGACCGATTTAGTGAGTCTTTATTCTTTCACTGCACCTTGTGCATACCTTTATGTGAGCAGCTGTGATCCGGTCTTAAACTTTTATTTAAATTTTCATCTTTCTTACACATATTTAAACTACAAATTATGTCATGACAAAAGCTGTAATTCTTATTATTACTTTTCTACCTTAGGGCCTCACACATGTTAGGGGCCTTATATATTTTTGTTGGGCGCATACATATTGCATGGGATCAATGATGAGTACAGTACCTTTCTGCCAAGGAATTTTGGATAATCTGATATAAATCTGAAGGAAATCTAGTATTATAAGTGTAATCAGTCAAAATTTAGAGTTGAAACCAAGTAAAATTTTTAATATTTAGAGTAGAACTAACTGATTTTTAAACTTTTTAAAAAATTAGACTACACTGCCTTATCTGTTAGTCCCAGATGAGCACAAATGACTACTTTGATCTAGCCCCATAAATGTGTTAAGACAGAGAAATTTTTAAATTAAGGTAATATTAAAAAAAGTTAGCATTTCATAAAGGTAAATTTCTTCACCTTTGAAATAAAAAGAACTGAGAAACAGGAAACTCTAAAGACAGTCTGACTCTTGGATGGCTCCGTGACTTTGTATCTAACCTAAATTTGACATATGGGCAGGGAAAAAACCTGTCACTAGAGCATAATGGGATACTTCCTTGGATATTTTTTTAATGTCATGTTTGTACATTTACGTTTAATGATAATTACATTATTCTCAATAATTTCATCTCTACTCTGAGAAGTGAAATGTCTCCTGCAGTCAAATGTACTCCAGAAGCAAATGTCCATCAATCATATTAATTATGCAGATTTAAAAGATTCTTTTTATTCATTCATTTCCCTCAAGTTTTGTTCTCTTTTAATTCAGTATGTCAGTGTTTACCCACTTTTTTAGTTATAGTTGTAATGAAGAATATTGACACGTTCATCAAGGTAAAAACAACAACACACTCTTTCTGGCACAGAAATGAGATCCAAAGACTTTCACCTAAAGGGAGTGAGAATGACAGACTGGAGGCTTTGTAGCTATATTAAAGAGCGTATCATTATCACTTTATGATCATTCAAATGAAAGGACTTGGCAAGAAGATAGCGTCATTAAGAGCACAGCCTTCAGTTTCAATTTTAGTGTAGCTTCTTATCAGCTGGCTGAATCTGAACAAATTATTCAAATTGTTTAGGCTTCTGATTCCATGTAAGTAAAATTACAGAACTAATACTTTTGTCATTGGGCATTAAAAGGGTGAAATGAAACAGTACATTAAAACACATAACTTCTGACTCTAGAGGCTCAATATATAATCACTATTCATATTATTATGTTCACATTTACCATTCTCAAATTTTTATTTAAATAAAGATTATTTTAACAATGATGGGAAAAGATTTTCACTCTAGTTAAATATCTGGACATTTTCCCATGGAGCTACATAGCAGAAATGACCCATTTTAGCTTTACAAAGAGGAACAGTATGGATTACTGAAAGTGAAAAAGAATTCAACATTAGAATAAACAGTATTTAAGGTCTATGTTGTATGACACTGGAATATCATGTGTCCCATTTGGTTTAAAATATGTGAAGTGATAGAATTACTTTGAGCTTTTAATTAAGCCCATGCATCTAAATTGAAACTTATAATGTACACTTTAGTGGAGTTTGACCAAATTTTATTAATCCGAGACAATAAGCCAAAGCTAAACTATTTTGAGCTAGCAGTTACAACTAGTTTCTTATTACTTTATTCTCTTCCAAGTTTCTGTTAGTATGTAATGCCAAGAGTGGTGAACAACACCACCACTGAGACTCTAGGTTATAACAGGAGTGATGAATTCTGCCTAATGAGATATATTGAGCTGCAATATAATTGTGATAGAACAAGGCATTTCAGGGAAATTTTTAATGACAGCAGCAAACATTAACTGAAATGACTGCGTGGATATTTGCATGAATAGAATCCTGTTTGACAAGATTATTTTAAAAATTGGGACATTAGATTTTTAAACATCAGTTTAGATGGAATGACATTAAATTAACATCTTACTTGACATGCTTGGGTGAAACTTACTTTCATCTCCTGTTTCAAATTCAAACTTCTGACTGTAGCCACTATATCCAGTTGCAGTCCTCACTCGGATATGAAATACGTATTTGGTGGCTGGCTTGAGACCTGTGATGATGACACTTGGGGCCTTGGACCTCGTGGAGGAATAGGTGAGCTGCTCATGCTCCTGGAGAAAGAAAGAGGAGACAGAAAATGAAGCACAGTTATTCTCTTTTTCCTGGAGACATTTCAATGTTAAGCTGTGGAATTATGCTCCGAATATCAAAAGGATTGATTAAAAAGAGGCAGAAGCATGGTTTTTCATAAGTTAGCATTTAGGTATTTGCCATAGGATGCATATGATATTAATTGAGCAAGATGATTTGGACATTAATTGAGCAAGATGATTAATCTTATATAAACTGCACTTGTATTTTTGGCAACTTGGAGTTTTGATCCAACTCTACGGAATGGTGGTGGTGTGAGATCATGTTTACACAGAATGGCAGCTGCATCTGGAGCAAAATGGACACCTCAGATCAGACCACACCAGCAGAGTGCAAGGAGCAAGGGTGGGAGAATTCAAGTTCCCGCTACTCACTTCTACCCGCAGGTAGTGCCAAAATGCCGGCGCTATCCGTGGGTAGACCTGTGGGTGAAAGGAGAAATAAATTAATTGCTTTTTAAAGTTTGAAATTAAATGCTTCATTCCAAAAATCCAGTGATTTCCCAGTAGTAACAACTTAAGTTGAGTCAACTTAAGAAATAAAAAATTTCTCATAAGGGAGAACGGACTCCTCTCCTAGACTCCACAGTTCATTTTTTAGAGATGAAAAAGTCACAAAGTGACTGTGAGGTAGTTTAAATATGCTGCCCAGGAGCATCAACAACATGAAAAGGTACAGAAGACTTATCACACCTAAAATCAGTGGCAGGACTGGAGGCTTGGTTTTCCGGAGGCCTGTGTTAACCACCAAACTACTTTTCCTCACTGAGAGGACATGGATTCGTCAGTGTTTTCTGAAGGATCTAGTCAGGCAGGGCCTTTTAAGTTGGCTATCTTGCCCACCACCTTCTAATAGAGCAGTCCATTTTACTGTGCATGTAAGAGACTGGCCACACTGTGCAGTGGTGGGGACAATTTAAGTACCGTTTTTGCATAGTTCAACAGCTTTACAATAAGGTACCGGGGGAATAACATTTATCTGTATGAGCACCTCTTCTAAATTAATGGGTTAAATTAAGCCATCAAGTTCTTAAGTTAATCCTTCTGCTGCTACTATCATTAGAAACTAAAGACAGATTTTCAGAGGTAAGAAGAACTTTCAAGGTCATTTATTAAATGACCTATTTGATAACTAAATTCTATCTGTAGCATTTCCAGCACTATTTCATTAAGACTTTGCCTGAAAGTTCCTGTTGTTCAGGTTTTCCAGATTAACAAATGAAGTTATAAAAATCTACACATATGTAGAATATGTCAACTTCATTTTTTTTTTGGTAGTAATGCTTTAAGATTTAAAGCTTGAAAATCATTTTCCCTAAGCAATTTTTGAGAAAACAATCATTTTTAAACTTCATGGCCTTATTTGTCAGAGTTTTATATGCTACATAGTCATTCTGTGTTTAGCTGAATAACTGAATTTACCAACTATACCCCAAACAGAACTCCTTAGTAAATGTCAAGTTAAAAAAAAAAAAAAAGAGTTAACAGTAATACATGAAAAAGACAAAACAGACAAATTCCAAGTTATATTTATCTTCAGGTAATTGTGATGTCAGCAAGTAAATTAAGTATTCATCTAGCATAAAATCCAAGGACATAAACCAAACTCATTAAAATAGGTGATGGTAGTAGGTAGTAATCATCTGCTAAGGGCTAAAAGAAGGAACTTTCTATGACCAAGACCCTTATAATTAAGGGTCCCTTTGTAAAGGGGAAAAAAAATGTGTACTCTTTTCGAGAAGTGATACTGTTTCTCGCAGAAATTTGTGAACACTTTTGGACTGTTCAATCTCATATACAAAGGGAAAATATTTCACCTTTTGCAGAATTTTCCACAACATAATGAGTTGTGGTGTATTTTGAGTGGGTTTCATAATATGTAATAATGACTGAGAGAAGAAGTTTAATGCCATGGGGGAAAAAGATAACAGTTATTGTCAATAAAGAGGATACAGATAGAAAAACTTCACTCTTACAATAACACAGTGATTACTCATGTCCTTGGTGCTTCACTAAAACACCCCAAAGTAATAAATTCTTATTCAGTAAAGTTACAGGTAGCAAAGGACATCTTTTGCAAACCACTTTTAGTACCTCTGTTGTTAAAAACTTCTGAAATTTTTGGTAAATGAAGGCAGCCTGCATGACTTTATACACAAAAGAGTACTAAGGGGAGAGAAAGAAATGATGGATTTTCCCTTTATTCTTTCAATCACATCAAGTTAAAATTATCAGGAATAGATGAAATGGCTATTAAAATTGATTCTCCATTTTAATATTCACAGTATTTTTTAAATCAATGTCCCAATTAAGCCAACAGTAGTTGTTCTGTTTGAAGGAGACTAAATTTATATATTCCTAAGAAAATAAAATATTATAAGTGGAATTAATTGCTCTGTTAGGATTATTTTAAGTAATTTTTAATCTATATTTCTCCATTTCTGAGTCTGACTTTTTCATCTTACCACTCTGTCACACACAAATATACACACACTTACTTATCAATATCAAGTAATTATCAAACATAACAGAAGACTATGGATCTATTTCTACAATAATCCTCCTAAAACTAAATAAATTAAGGCCACATTAAGGACATGATTCCTTATTTGCAGAAGGATATTTTTCCTAAGAAATCAAAAACTGTACAAGCTAGAACACAAAGTTTAAAAACTTATCAAAGAATGTTATTGCCTAAACAATAATGGTAATTAAAAATCTGAAAATATTTCACTTGACTAAAGAAAATTATTTCAGATGTCCTAGGGAAAGGAAGACTGGACACTACATTGGTCAGTATTTAACAATTGTTTCCCAGAGGAGAGAGACACTGAATCTGTTAGGTTTTGTTTTACAGAATGAGTCCTACTATGCTACAGGAACTTACATTAGCTGAAAGATTTTTTTTTATTGATGCTGCAATATTCTGATTACTAATGTGTATTCTCAAATGTTGTAGAAGCAAACATACATATATTTGGATCTGGAAAGGACAGGCTTTCATAAAATTAATACATGGCATTTTGGCTGGTTCTTCATTTCTTCTTTTAATTTAATTAGAGTGAATCAATCTGAGAGAGTTATCAACTCCTAGTGCACTCCAGTCCACACAGAGCAAAAGAAGGACTGTTCTGAGCCCAGGAACTAAAGTTACAGCATACCTATGTGGTAGGTATAGTTATAAAAGAACTTATAGCTCTAACAGTTATTGTTTTTATTCATTTATTCTATCCTTTACCTTGATTCATCTCATACAAGTACTAACCTATGTTTTTTTTGCTGAAGCGTTAAGCTATTCCTCTTTTTTAGTCAAAACATTAGGTATACAGGAAGGTGTGACAAAAATTAACTATCTTTCTGAAATTTACAAACAAGTCTTTAAAAAAAGTAGATTTTTTTTTGTAAAGGTGAACTGTAATAAGTTATCATTTCCTCTCTGCTAATTGATTACTTATCTAGAAATTCCTAGAGAATTAACTAAAGAGATTTAAAATAAGTGAAGCTAGGTGGCTAACATACCTCACTGCTTTTTTTTTTCTATACACTATAAATGACCAGTTAATATTATATTTTAAATAAACATTTACTGTAGACATAAAAAATAAAACTTCTCATCTTATTGCAATGCTAAGCTACTTAATATTTATTGCGCAGTAGCAGCAAAGATAGGAAACTCCCTTGGTTTGTTCTTTAAAGGAATAGCTAATAACTAACTGAGATACCATTATATAAAAGTGAGGGTTTTTTTTTTTAAAGATTTATGTATTTATTCATACAGAACTGGGGTACAGGCCAGAGATGCGGAGGGTGAGAGGATTCACCAGGAACAGAGTGTGGAGCAGAACAGGCAGATCGACGAAGGACACTACTGAGGGGAGCAGCGGGCAGGTCAGGAGAGGTCTGCCACGCCATGTGGATCTCCTCCTAGGCAGGCAGGGATCAAACTCATGCGGAAGTGGCCTAAGCTTCTTAGTGCAATGCTTTAACCGGCTGCGCCACCAGGGAGGGCCATAAAAGTGAGGTTTTAAGTAGAAACCCAATTGAAAACTTTTTTTCCATTGGCTTACACTGTAATTTGGTTTTCAAAATGTGAGCTGAATTATTATAAAAAATAATTTATCTGTATTTTCTAAGCTACTAATAGTAATTTCATTTTTTTGTGAGATATAATTATCAAGAACTATCTTTGCCTTCTTAATAAACCCTACCTACCAATACTTGCTTATAATATAGCACTATAATTTTTATTGTAATTTTGGTTTTAATTTGGTATTTCAATTAGAATTTTCATACCTATGTTTATAAGTGGTGTAAGCCTAGAACTTTCTTAGTTTGTCCTTTTTTTTTTATTAATAATCTCTGCTTATGATAATTGGGTTAGACTACAAGAGAATATATAGTGAAAATTTTCACTTTTGATATTCTGGTGTAACTGATATAATATGGGAATTATCTGTTCCTTAAAATCCTAATTTAAGTGCACCACACTGAGGACAGACTTTTGAGCACATTTTAAAATCACTTTATCCTATTCTTGGGTCTTTTCATTCAGTTTTTTAATTAAAAAATCTTCATTACATTTACTTATAAGAACTATACCTACTTTTGTCCTATCATTACAAATCTCTTTGCAAATAGCATTTTTCTCCTTCTAGGCAAGCTCATTCATTTTATCAGTCTTTTAAAAAACACTGGATTTTGATAAATTTTTTAAAGATTTATTTATTTATGCATACAAGAACTGGGCTACAAGCCAGAGATGTGGGGGGTGGGGGGGAGGGGGTGAGAGGATTCACCAGAGACAGAGTGGAGAGCAGAACAAGCAGATTAACTGAAATATACTGCTGAGGAGAGCAGCCGGCAGGTCAGGAGAGGTCTGCCATTCCATGTGGGTCACCTCCCTGGTGGGGGATGGAACTCATGCTTCAGTGGTTTCCGATAGCTTCATTGTGCTGTGCTTT